GAAACCGTTTTTTTTGGCCCCGGCCAAAGGGTCAGATTTTCCGGTTTTCTTGAGGAAGTGGATTTTCGCCAAAATCGAATTTTTTAGCCGGGTGAACGTTGATTCCAACTATTTAAGTGACGGGCTATTCAGAACTCTCAACAGTATATGGAAAAAGTGAAAACTGAAAAAGTTTTTTTTTTTAGATTTTCAAAGGGTCAGATTTTCCGTTTTTCCCGGGGGAAGTCGACTTTTGCCAAAATCGAAGTTTCAATTTTTAATTTGATGCTGAAAACACGAGATGACGATATTCTAAGTACGGAATTATATTGATAAGATTGACAGATTAATTGAATAATCCTGTGAACTAACTAAAAATTGATAACTGTCCGCACGCACGTTTACCAGGATATCAACAGACATTGAATTCCAGAAATTCACATTCTAATGTGTGTTCTAGAAGGAATTCAATTGTCATTATTATTAAAATCTTATTCAGTGAGCATAGAAATTACAACATGAACAAATCATTTATTGTAATATGAAAATTTAACAGCTGATAAATCGGGACATATGACTTCCATCAGTCGTACTGCTTTTTGCAAAGAAAATGATTATAAACAATAAATTGAATAATAAATTAAAATAAAATACAATAAAATGATCAAATAAAATAAATAATAAATCCGACAGGTAAAAGGGTATAATAAAAGGCCACCACCACCCCGGGTGGCGCTAGTATCTTTCCCAAAAAATTCAGTTTTTGTGATGAGTACAAAATAATTGAGGATTGAAAGAAATTCTTGGCAACGAAAAAACAGTGAAAAATATCTTTTCCACATGAAAAATGGAACTTCCATCGTATGACAGACAATCAGAAGAATGATCACACACGTGACCCAGAAATCACCTCTCCTCAGGGGCATTTGGAGATAGTTAAAGAGTGACATTTCCACTGTATAGATGGGAAGCCAAGGAGGAGGTGAGGGGTGGTTAAAGGTATCTGGGGGGGAATCCGGGGGCTGTGCATCATTTTTCACGTACCACGAAGGGGCGGAACGTTTTTGCCTCTCCCCTTCATATCCCCTCACCCACCCCACATGTTCCTCAGCTACTACAGATAATGTCCTTAAAGGAGGACATCTCTACTCAGGTATTTGTCATAAAAAAACGACTCGATGATTGCACTGTTCATAACTGAGCTTAGCTTTTGTCTCTAATGAATTAGCAATATAATTCCAAATGAATTGAACTTTGATTCTGAGACACGATAGTGTCTTAAATTTATTTTAACTTCAAATTTCGGATTACATTGCTGACGTATTGTTTCCGGTAATTTATGGTTCGATTACAATGAATAACACTGAAGCCCTGGGTTTGATCTTAAATTGAACTCAAATTTACAACATTAAAAATTCAAATGCAGGAACAACGTGAATTAGAAAAACTAAAAAAAATAAATCAAACAAATCTGAAAAAATCTTGATATGTGCGTGAATTCCACGAATTTTTCCTGGAATATTCACTCCACTCATGGAAATTTCACAGAGTAGAAAACATGAAAAAAACTTGACCAACACAAAAAATGAAAATGTCGCTAGAAAATGAATTAATCTCCAATGAAAGATGAAAAAAACAAATCCCTAAAAACTTCATATAAAATTTTCCTCATGTATTCCCCCAGACCTCCTCGCACTTCGTCCGTCATATGCTTGAACAAATACTAATAAATACCAGGTGGACGTATTTAAAAGTATCCATCCCCTGCGGTACGAGAAAAATGGAGAATGCGTATTAATTATGAAGCTTGTTCAAATACAGCGAACAGAGGTGGCTCCCACCAAAGGGGAAAAACTAAAAGTAGAGGGGGTAGTGATCAACGTATCTAACAGTGACCACGGGTCCTCCCTTATTACAGAGAAAACCATTGAAGTATTTTTTTTTCTCCTCTTCACATTTTTTTTTCCTCATACGAATTTTATCCCCAGCTTTTGTTTAACTTTCGTCGCGGAATTTTTCCTCACACAACGCGCAAATTGTCTCCTTTCACTTGGATACCCACCAGGAGTAGCCATTATTAGTCCCGAGAGACATACAGTTTAATTTTATGTATCGGAAGGTTTTGATACAAGGGGGAAATTTTGCATTTACACATTTAAAATTAAAATGTTTTTTTCTTTCGTTGGGCGAAAATTAGGCGGACCTTACGGAATGGCCAGGGACATTTAACATTCCAGATGATGTTTTCGAACCCATTCTGCACCGCTTTCGGTATGAATGATCAGTGAAGCAATTTTCCAATTTTCTAAACAAATTTTCTGATCTTATTTTTTTTTTTAAGATATTAAAAGAAATTAATTTACAGCCCGGTGGCTTGGCGCAGTGGGTAAGTTCGTTGCCTCACATGCGAAAGGTTCCGAGTTCATTTAAAGTCTTGATCATCACCGCAGTATACCCGAACCAGGTCGAAGCGATGTAAAATAACGATAAAAAAAAATTAATTCACGGAAAAAAATGTACTTGAATTAAGTATATTTTAAACCAGAATCAGGTTGATGCATAAACCTGAGGAACATTTCCGCTGGAACACTCAAAATTACGACCCATTCTGCCCCATTATCTACAGAGATCGCCATAGTTTTCGTTTCTGCCTGAAAATCAATGAATTCTGAATATTTCGAGACCTACTGGGGCAAAATAGGTTTAATTGTAGGGTTCGAAGGCGGAAATTTTTCTGGATTTCTGATGGGGTTATTTTTAACCCCATTCAGATTATCTAAATAGTTTTGCAAATGAGAAAAAATGGTGATTTTGTGATGAAAATATTTTTTTTTATCACAAAAAATAGGTTTTTCGACTCTTGACCGCAAGTCAAGAGTTTTCCACTCAAATATTTAGTGGGAAAGCGTTAAATCAAAGCAAACCACAGTATCCCCATACCCCTCTGGTGGTGGAGCCCAAGACAAATGTCACCAAACCCACCCGAAGCAATGAGATGTGGGGATGAGTGCACAAAATTCCCTCTTTATTTTTGTATTTTCCTTCGCATTTTATTTCTACTCATCTTTTTCTTCCTTCGACCGTATAAAAACCTTGGGAATTCGGATGCACGTTAGAAGACGGTAAATCAAGCCTCTTGGATGATATTAAAAGGCCAAAACATAAGATTTATATTGTGAGTGAAAGGGATAGAGCAGAGAGAGATGTGTAACGGAAGTCTAGTGTCAATGGGAGAGGAGAAAAAATGTTGAGATGAGGATAAAAGCCAATGAATGGGGAAAAATAGAGGGACAGAAATTGGCAAATCGACGTTTGGCATTAGAACCAAATTGAATTTTTTCTTCGAATCGCATTTACACAATTATTTCATTTCTCAGTAATAAAATCTTCATTTGAATTGAGAAAACATTTTAGCTTGCGAATGGAAACTTTGTAATCGCTCAAACTTAAGTTTCCAATTTTTTGTGTTAAGGTAGTGAAAAATTTTCATGAATTCTAAATTAAATTTGTTTTTTAAATTTTTTTATGAATATCGAATTTGATAATCTCGATTCATTGGCGTAGAATTACTCATGATTCCAAAAAATAGTGACAATATCCTCTTGACTCTAACAGAATATAATGGGGGTCGCACAATTCATTGAATTACAGCACATTATTTATGCGATTTGAAATTGAAAACCGGTTTTTTCATCATTACTGAAAGAATAATCAGTAATAGCAATTAAATCAGGGCTTGAAAAAATTATTTTATGTCAGTAAAAGCTTTTGTTATGAGAT